CTCCTCACCCCCTCCACCCCCACCCTGCTGACCTAACACCCCACCAACAGCATCAAGCGCGCCCCCACCAGCAAGCTCATCAACAACCGGCAACCCACCGCCGCCCTTCCCCTTCCCGCCCCGCCGACGGCGCGCAGGCTGTTGCGCCGCGCCAGCGTCAGACGAGACCGACGCGCTCCGGCTGCGACCCCTGCGGCGCGAGCGCGAACGCTCGGCTTTCTGCGGCGCTGGTGCTGGGGAGGCCTCTCTGTCGGACATGCTTGATCACGTTGGATAAGTTGGTAAGGACGGCGTCCGAGGGTATGGGGAGGGGACCGCGGCCGCGCGCGTTGGAGCTCGGGCTTTTATTTAACGCGCCACGGAGGTTGTGTACCTCAGAGCTTAAGCTTGCTTGTTCGAGACTCGAGACTCGTGCGGGGATGATCGATGACGATGTTAGGTCCGCGATCAGGTATGCAGGGGAAACCGGGAGTGACGTCGAGTTGTCGAATTGGAAGATCAGATTGTGGCGACTCGCGAGGGACCTCTGACGAAGGGTTCACAGCTGCTCAGGCACGTATATCGCGTATGTTGCGGCGATAGGCAGTTGCTAGTGTACAGAAGATAGCATTGTGAAAGTCCGCAAGATGATAGAAGTACAGGGTTGTAAGAGTATAGAACATTAGGTCCGTGAAGTCACGAGTCCGGTCCGAGTGAGTTGGACGCAGGCTGTAAACAGGATGGTCAGAACATGCACGCTATAGGTAAAGAGCGAGAGAGACATACCTGGAGAGCGAAGACAAGATCTTCGCGTAGCGTATGACTATGCCCTAGCGACTGTTCGGTTCGGTAACTAGCAACATGGTCATATGCGAAAGAAACTCACAGTAGAGAGAGCGTCAGGTCACCATGGACGTGAGCCTTGACGGTAATTTCAATGTCCTAGACGCAGAAGTCAGTCGGCAGCAGAGAGACATATGCAAGGCGCCTACAATGTTGAGGTCGAGGCTGACACGCTGGTCAGTCTGTGCACAAGCCATGCCACTCAGAGGAAGCTTACCGAAGCTTCAACGGCTTGCTGCCACCTCCACCCTCCATATCGTCTCCACCACCGCTCTGCCGGCCACCACCAGTGAGCCCGCCAACAGTATCGCCAACGGTATCAAGTGCGCCGCCCGCCTCGTCTACAGCCGGAAGACCGCCCTTCTTGCCCTTACCACCGCGGCGGCGGCGTGCAGGCGCAGCATCCTCGCCTCCAGACGAGGCCACAGACGCGCTACGGCTACGCGTGCGCTGACGACCGCGCTGACGAGACTGCGAACGCTCCTGCTGCTGCTGAGGGGCGGGAGATTCTTCGCGGCCGTCCATTGAATAGATTCGGTAGAGTAGAGTAGGAGTTGGAATATTCGCGAGGAGGCACTAAGCCCATTCCTTATATCGTCACGTTACGGGCGGTGTGGTGCTGCAGTTGCGCCCAGTGAGGTCGGGGTGGTCCATCTGGCGCCAGTTCTAGGAACACGGTGGGGAGAGCGGAAGGGCAAGTCCACGGAGATGACATCGGGATTCGCGCTAGGTCCTGGTGATGTCACGGAAGCAGACTTGTGCCGCACGGCGTTCCTTACGACAGCCGGCGCCGGCGGTAACCTGGGCCCGGACGCAGATCGATGCCGCAGGGCACGAGGCTCGTGTTGTGGATGACGCTTTCGGCTTTCGTTTACATGGCTTTTATCGAGGGCTTTCGAGCTCGGAGGGTATTCGCAACAAAGGGTCCATTTTACTACGGCTACTACATCTTACACTTGCTGTAAAGCGTCCTCGTATTCAAGCATACGGTGCAAACTGACTAGGTGGGGGGTAGGTAAGGTATTGCAGCTCATTGAGCATGAAGAGGCACGAAGACGGAGTGCATAGTGCGCAAGATCAAGGCGTTCAGCGCCTGCATACACTAGTCAGCCGTCGTACTACTAATGACGAGCGAGTTAAGGCTTACAGTAGACTGAGCGTGATGTCGCCATGCACGGTAGCCTTGATCTGAATGTCGACGTCGATGTTCTACGCAAAGAGAGTCAGCAAGGTGCAACTTGAGTAACATCGTAACATCCGCATGGGATATACATACAAGATCCAGTCTGAGCTTCAACGGCTTGTCGTCATCGGCCGCGCCTCGGGTAACACCCTCGGCCGTGCGGCCAACCTGGTTGGCAGTGTTGGTGACAGCGCGTCCGGTGTCTTCGACCTCGTCGACGCCAGGGAGATCACCGCCCTGCTGCTTACGACCACCGCGACGGCGACGGCGCTGGTCTTGGATACCAGGCTCCGAGTCGCTCGTGCCAATAGAGTCGCTACGCGAGAGCGCACGCGACGGCGCACGGCTACCAGATTCCTCGCGCTGCTGCTGCTGCTCCTGGTGAGGGTTCATGATGTCGGCCATTGTGAAATCGAGATGAGAAGTTGCGACGGAAGCAGATTATTCTAGGTTCGGGTTCAGATTCGTGGATGAGTTCGTGAAGAGGCGTAAAGGTGGTTGTTTCTGTAAAGGGGAAGCGGAAGGGCAGGCGCCCGGGTTATATCGGTGGGAAGAGCCGCCGAGCGCATGGGATGAGTTCATAGTTTCCAAGACGTTCTTTGTGCTGGTGGAGAGCAGTGGAGGACGAGGAGGCGCAGGAGCAGGGTCTGCGGGGCCGACGCCGTTGATCCTGTAACCTTATTCCGGCGCAGGCACGCTGCTAGCTGGACCCACCAACTTACATCCGAGTTCGTCGCGCGACGCGTCCTTCGCGTTTCATTCCGCGACCACCATGTTCTCGAGTTGGACAAACGATCCTAGGTGCATGAGCACGAGAAGATTCATAGACGGACGTATCGCTTCTTCATAGCGCCTATACATGTTGGGCGAAGATCACCTTCGCGACGCGGAGACTCGACATGATGTCAGAGGCACAGCACGAACTTCTCCGCTCGAAGGCGAGCCCCAGCGAACGCGCAATCAATAACACCGGTATAGCTACCTGGCGGCATTGACGTGTATCTGTCCAGCAATCTACGTGCTTCTCGTCCAGAGGGTACCCGCGTCCGATCCTTATTGCGCCGACTCAAGATGGTATTCATACCATTCTCGAGGTATCATCGCCAGACGCCGTCTTTTCTGTCGCCAGCAACGCGTCCCACGCGCGCAATCTATACTTTTAAGGTGTCTTGACGTACACTTGGAGAGACCTGGGGCCTCGACTTCCGCCCATAAGCCACACCTGGCCACCTGCTCTCCTCAACAACCAGGGCCCGCCGTCTGTCACCACGCCTGCGCCCCTACGGCTTTGCACGTCCCACCCTTTCCTGTGCTACCTTTGACTTCGCGAAATGGAGTTCATGATATCACACCTGTCGTCGTACTTATACGGGATCGCCACATCTGACTTCGAAGCTTGAGCTTGTCTACGCACAACGCATAACTCTTCACCACGGCGTCCCCTATATCTTCGACGCACTCGTCGCACCGTCGACTTCCTGCCCACTCAAGTTACACCCCGACCAACTCCGACCGCTCTACTTCTACTGTACGCAGCATGGCCGACGTCGCATCTCCTCAGCGTCAGCAGTCCGGCTTCGGCTCTTTTGGCCAGTCGGGTCAGCAGCAGAACCCGCCCGTCGATCCCTCTGAGGTCGGCACTGATGCTTCTGGCGCTGACGACCAGAAGGATGCTGAGAAGGAGCTCGCTGAGCGCCTCTCGCGCATCATTGAGGATGCCAACAAGCGCGTTCTCCCTATCGTCAACATGATTCGTCAGGTCAGTACCCAACGTCCTTCTCCACTGTCCTTCTCATCGTCGCTCACGCTCCACACACAGAACATCGAGAACTTCACGAACGCCAAGGAAGAAGACCGCAACGAGGACGAACTCGTCAAAGCCGTCAAGCCCCTCATCGAGCAAGCCGAGAAGGTTCTCTACGAGGCGAACGGCGCTATCAAGGGCGCAGATCCCGAGGGCAAGCTCTCCGAGCGCGCTACTCGCAACTACCAAGACCACACCGCGACACCCGAGGAGCAGCGTCTTGCCGAGGCTATCAAGGTCCTCGTCGAGGAGGTCGGCGGCACGATCGACTGGGCGAAGGACAAGCTCAACAGCTTCCCCAAGGCGAAGCGCGACCTTGGGCCGCTTCTTGATGCGCTTGGGCAGCCGCTTACGCAGATCGTGGGCGGTGTGGGTTTGCTTCTTCACGGAGTACTCAACCTTGTCGGAAAACTCGTGAGTACTATGCTCGTGTTGTTCCTGCCCATTGTCCTCATCGCTGACGGCGCCTGTTTACAGCTCTCCGGCCTTGGGCTCGACTCACTTCTGAAGGGGATCTTCGCTGCCGCTGGCTTAGATAAGATATACAAGAGCATCGGTCTCGACAAAGTACTCGGATAGACGGACAAACGACGCGAAGAAACTCGGACTTGTACATTGTGACACCACGGACATTTGTTGTACGTTAGCTAGAATAAATGCAGCGCCAGCTCGCGCTGTCGGCGATATGCCTTCCTCAATCCTCGTGCCTATCGATAACGCCTTTGTGAGATACCGTATAGTTCACCGAAAGAGGCATCTTGGAACTTAGAGATCGGTTAGATGGACGAGGTGAGAGCCCGTCTCCTCAGTGGGGCCGGTCAGGGGCGCCTGCGGGCCGGCCTTCGCGCGCATAACGGTCGTCCCTGCGGCCAAGTCCCCTCTGCTCCAGCGGTGCACCCTCCACCAGCCTGTGCAGTACCCACCCGTATACCCACCGGTACCACAATGGAAGAGACTTCCTCGATGTCATCCTGGAGTAGTTGCAAGAGCGTCCGGCCATGATATCACTCGCGCCGGCAAGTTCAGCGAAGATATAATCGCCTAGACGGACCCTTCGCATCCAGCATTGACATACCCATCCTACGTCCACACCCTACCACCAGCCTATACCACCACTACGATGGCCGACATCATGAACCCCCAGCAGGAGCAGCAGCCGCACTACGCCGCGAGCGAAGCATCAACCGAGCGCGACGAAGCGCAGGTCAAAGCCGACAACGAGCTCGCCGAGCGCCTATCCCGCATCATCGAAGATGGTCCGTCCTCCGTTTCATCCTCCATTCTCCGCGCAGCCGTAGTCTGACAACCCGGGTCGAATTAGCCAACAAGCGCGTTATCCCCATCATCAAGATGCTTCGGCAGGTCAGTTCCGTCTTGTCATTGTCACGCTCCATTCCTCCTCGGACGTAGCTGAAACGCGTCGCGGGTCGCAGAACATCGAGAACTTTGAGGCGCAGAAGGAGGATGACAGGAACGAGGACGAGCTTATCAAAGCCGTTAAGCCGCTCATCGAACAGGCTGAGAAGGTATGCATAGGCGCCGTCCATCTTCACCGCGCGGCATCAAGTTGACCATTCTCTCCGCAGGTGCTCTACGAGACCAACGGCGCCATCAAGGGCGCGGACCCAGACAACCGCCTCACGAACCGCGCGCAGCGGCACGTCGACGACCACAAAGCATCTCCCGAGGAGCAGCGCCTGGCCGAAGCTCTGAAGGTGATGATCACCGAAGTCGGCGGCACGATCGACTGGGCGAAGAACAAGATCAACGGGTTCCCGAAGGCGAAGCGCGAGCTTGGGCCGTTGCTTGATGCGCTGGGCCAGCCGCTCACCCAGATCATCGGCGGCGTCGGTCTGCTCCTCGCTGGCGTGCTCAACCTCGTGTCGCGCTTGTTGTCCGGTCTTGGGCTCGATTCGCTGCTGAAGGGCTTGTTCTCGGCTACTGGGCTCAGCGCCATTGCGAAGGGTCTGCAGCTTGATAAGATGCTTGGAGTGAAGTTCTGAGTGGGATGATGAATGAACGGACTGAACGCAGATGGACTTGTAAAAGTAGTCATACCTTTGTAATGTGTACATCAAACGAAGCCTAGCGCTCCCCAAAGCCCAACCTCGTAAGGCGAAGGGACCCTTCGCAGTCGTCATACCTCGGCACTGTGTACCGAACAGTGTAAAGGCGGCGACCCGAGAGACCTGTGCGATCCCCTGCCTCTGCGGCGGCGGATATCCACGATACAGCATGCGCCTACAATGACCTCATCGGCATGGGGTGCACTTCCTCGGTCCCATAAAGCAGAAGCGCAGAGAGTCCGTAAAGCAGTACACCTTGTAGCACCATCGTCAATGCCGACACAGTCCCGAGCACAAACAGCGGCCGATCAGGTGTCGCGGCAGGAGAAGGATCGAGCGCTCGCGCTCCGCCTCGTGGATATCATCGAGAACGCGAATCGGCGGGTTGTGCCGATAGTGAGGTTGTTGCATAGTGTACGCGCACTCTAATAATCGTCTGCGTGGAGGCTCATGTTGTGTGGGTGTAGAACATCGAGAAGGCCGAGCAGGAGAAAGACGAAGAGCGGGACGAAGAAAAGTTGGTGGAGAAGTTGCGACCTTTGCTGGAGGAAGCGCAGAAGATCCTGTTTGAGACGAGCGGCGCAGTCGAGGCAGCGGATCCCGACGATCGGATGAAGAAGCAGGCGGAGAGGAACGTGGAAGACCATGTTGCCACGCCGGAGGAACAGCGCTTGGCCGCCGCCCTGAAGACCGTACGTCGAGCACTGTCACCCATTGACCAAGTATGCTGACGAAGAGAGAGAAGTTGGTCGAGCAAGTAGGCGGGTCGATCGACTGGTGCAAGGCGAAGTTGGCAAAGTTCCCGCGCGCAGAGCCAGACTTAGGACCATTGGTGGAGGCGATGGGCAAGCCATTATTTCAAATCTTGACGGGTGTCGGGCTTCTTCTGCATGGCGTTTTGACGCTGGTGGAGAACTTAGTGAGTACTGGCTGCTACGGGAGGGCGCACTGCCTGACGTACCTCTTCAAAGCTCGCCGGTATCGGGTTGCATAAGCTCGTGAGGTCCATCGTGGCCCTGTGCGGCTTCAAGGGGTTCAAGCCTATGGGCCCAGGGAAGTGGATGGACAAGAGAGGTATACCTCTAGATTGACGTAGAGTTCTTCCTCGTGAACGTCAGACTAGAGAGAGGACTGTAAGACATGTATTCAGCAGCGTTGAGAACGGACAGCGAGGGCCAAGCACCCTGAAGGAAGCTCTACACAAGCGGCTGCCATGGTGAGCGTCGAAAGCAAGGCGTTATTTTCGCGCGCTTCTTGCGCGATGTGTTCCCGACTTCTCCCGCAGTTGTAGTCAGTACGATCGGTCAATTCATTATGACCCGACGGCTCAGCGTCTACATTGATTGTCATACGAAAATCCCTACACCTGTCAGGACATCCACCGGTGATGACCTGACAACGATGGTCATCATTTGAAAAGCGCGGGATCAGACATAAGCTCGTACCTGCTCACAGGACATATTGTAGAGAGTAGATTGGTGTCTGTGGGCAAGGCTCCCTCGCGAAAGAGGGTACTGGCACCATATCGGGGAAGCCATATATTTCGATGCCGATGGACACCCGTTTGGAGTCCTCGTGGCGTGGCAGTAAATAGAGTCAGGAGGATCATGGACCTCTAGGTTCACCTGTAGACGGTTACGGGGGCGCTTCGTGTCCGGCTGTCGTGCGATGGATCGCCTAGACCACCTAGGTGGTGAGTGGCGATATACACTGTGCCGCAAGCATCAATTGTGGATGACTCCTGACACCACCTTCTTCGGGTACTCGGCGAGCCAGTAGCGTTGCTGACGCCAGAGAACAGGCCCTACTCAGTACTAGAAGTGCCTCGGAACGGGTTCGCGAGGAATGCTGATGCGCGAATCCGCAAATCTCGATACCCACACCGTCGGAGCGTCGTGGCCCAAAGAAGAAGGCTGACATGCTCGAGCGGTATAGGGTCGGCACCGTATAAAGACCCCGTTCACAAGTACTAACTCATGTTCTAGTGAAGTGGGCCGACGAAGTTGGCAAGGAGTCGATCATAAGCATACGGGGAGACTTCGGCCAAGGCGGCGTGGTCCTGGCTGCGAGAACACAAGGCTAGTACAGAAGCAGAGTTGCTCTGCACCCGCACACTGGATACGAGTGCCTTCAGAGGGTGTAGTACATTGTTCTCCAACTAAGTCGCGTATAGAAGAGCGGAAGAAGCGCCGCTCGCCCGATCCATCGACGTTCAGGTCAAAGCGCGGGATTGGGCGCTTGGGCTTGGCCGAAGCATCTCCGATATATTCCACGTGCGTGGTTCGCATTAGTCATCATGATTCTACGTTTGCACGATCATCGCAGTCCGCAACGAGCCGTACACATCTTTGGCCTCGACCATCACCATCTCTGCGCACCTGCCATACTCTGTTTGAAATGTCGGCCACAGACGTGAATGTCCCTTTCTTCAAAAAGAAGCGTGGTCGTCCTACCGCACAACGGCAACGCTCCGCTGAGCCTGCTGTCGCCGCCCAAACTGCTGCTTCGTCATCTACATCTGCTGTAGTGCTACCAACTCGCAAAGTTGGAAGTGGCGTACTTAGCGCAGGCTCTAAACGCACATCCTCGCAGCGTCAGGAGGATGACGACGAGGAACGGCGGGACGGGCCGAGCGTCAACTGGGGAGCCGCCGGCAGCAGCCATCAGGAAGCCGCACGAGAGATTCTGGCAGGCGACGAAGCGGAAGAGATCCTAGCGAAGCGGAGGCGTGCCGAAAATCCCGAAGACCCTACGGCCGTTCCAGACGACGGTCTATATCGCGGTCAGAAGGCGTACAAGTCCCATCTGGAGAAGAACAAGGATACGCCCAAGGCCCTGCGCGCAGGTCCTCAGCGAAATACGGGAAGTACCATAAAGACTGTGACTGTCATTGATTATCAGCCGGATGTATGTAAGGACTACAAGGGTATGTTCTACGTTATGTTCATCAGCGGGAACGCTTGTATTGACGGATGTCTTCTAGAGACCGGATTCTGCGGGTTCGGCGACACATGCAAGTTCTTACACGACCGTGGAACCTGTGAGTCTACCTGATACTGGATCTGCTGTAGGCCTGATATACTGATCATCTGTCAGACCTTCAAGGATGGCAGCTCGACAAACTGGCGGCCAACCCAAGCGGCAAGCGCAACGCGGGTGCGGAAGAGTCGTCTGATAGCGACTCGGACGACGAGGATATCCCTTTCGCTTGCCTTATCTGTCGCAAGCCGTATACTGACCCTGTCGTGACCAAGTGCGGTCATTACTTCTGCTCGGCATGCGCCATCAAGCGCTTCGGACGGACTCCCAAGTGCGCAGCATGTGGTGCACCGACAGGCGGCATGTTCAATCGTGCGACCAACGTCCTGGACAAGATCAAGAAGATGAAGGAGAAGGCTGAGGGCAAAAATAGCGACGGCGAAGGAGAGGATGGTCCGGGTGGCGTTGGAGGTGTGCAAATCGAGGGCCTCGCGAATAAGGATGGCTCGGATTCGGACAGCGATGACGAGTAGTGTGAGTTTGTCGTAATGTTACTCGTTCGTACATGTTTATTGCGTTCCTAGCGCATTTGGTCTAGACGGGGTCCATCTGTAACACTTGATTCAATGAAAATGGTTTATCAAAAGCACCTTGCCGCTCGAGTAGCAGCAGCTCTCGGTTCTGACTGCCGATGAGGGGATCATGCAAGCAACTAGACCCGAAACGCGCGGATCATTTGCTGTGAGCATACCAGCGTCCAATGCTCAGGTTAGACCCAAGAGGTAGCAGAGCTCACGCACTAGGAGACGTTGGTACGTCGCGGCCGAGCCACCCGATGCATCCCAACGCAAACCGCAGGCCGCTTTCGGGCATGAACATGCTTTCCGTGGTGCCATCAACTCTCCTTCATATGCCTCGATGCAGGAATGTGCGCAGGTGTGGCATACCCTATGCGGCTTACAGCCACTTCCATCTATCATGACTGTACCTGTCTATCGCGATGCAGAGTCGTCATGAGAAAGTGTCGTTGTACGGGATACGCGGCGAGGCCATGAGGATATGATTTCAATGATCGCTGCTCGTGGACCCCAGACCAAATACCGAGTACGAGGAAGTACGTCCTCCTTGTTCATTGTCCGAGTCGGGCTTGCAGCACGTTCACCGGGCATCGCTCCCCGGCCATTGTGCGTCTTCAGCCTGTCAGAAGTACGGCGCGGATCGCCTGCATAGTACGGAGCGCGATATCCCGAGTCCCATCGCAGGCACTCGCTGACCTTTTCTGCCTGCTACGAAGGCCGCTGTTGGCACGCTAGGCCTGACAGGCTTCTCAGCGCGAAAATCCTTTCATCGAGATATGCGGCCTTACTGACGCTAAGCTACCCTTGTAGGCATCGCGTCTGCCAGCTGTGGGCGCACGCGAGCACATCGGGCGTTGGTTATCGGCGACAGCCTCGGACGATGCGGCGGTTGACTTTTACGGTTGGTCCTTGGCTGTCAACGGACATCTCGCTGCAGAATGTGGCTTGACGCTAGTTCCATTTCTGTATAGCATGGTACGCCCGTCATGGCCAAGTCATCGCATCGAGATGTGTGGCATGGTGCAGGTGCAGAGATGTGTAAAAAGTGCGTAACGATGATTGCGCTCGTAATGGCTTCAGGTTCCTCGGCTGTCATGGCCGTACTTACCACCCGGCGACTGCTGCGCTTACTACTCGATTGGGCTTTGTGAACGCGAGGAAGCGAGCAACGAACGCGGTTGATGAGGATCCGAGGTACGATTGGAAGTATAGTTGCCTTTTTGTTCGCCGCCATGCTGTCTATTACCGAGATGTTCGATCCCGATGCCTGGAACGCATCGGGGATCCCGGTGGCATCCAGGCTGTCAGTATTGAAGTTGGAGAGCATACAGGCTAGATGGATATGGCACATTCAGAGAACCTGTGAGCGTGTTCCAACAGGATGCTTGACGCGATCCTCCGGAGTCGCCGGACATTGCACGCGATGACGACGAGAGTACTAGGATGATCGTTACATTAGACTACGCAGATCATGGTGCGAGAGAGTATTTACAACAGGTGCATCGGCGCATAAGGTACATTAGATATACAGGGCCGAATCTACGGCATAATTGACAAGCATCACGACTGCTGCGACAAGACACGTCTCAGGACGTACACAGCACTACCAAGAAAGCAGATGACACAAAGCACAACAAACGATAGCAATCAGTTCTAGGATCTACGCAGCACTCGCCATCCCGCTCGAGCGGCCTCCGCCGCGACCACCGCGCCGAGACTTGTCGTCGTACTCGTCCTTCTTGGGAGGCGCGAGCGCGCACGGCGTGTCAATATGACGCTTGAGCGTGTCTGCACGCGCGTATCCTTTACCACAGTACGGGCAGTTGTGCACGCTGTCGCCGTGGTGAGAGTCCTTGTGGCGCTGCATATCGTGCCGACGCGAGAAATCGCGGCCGCAGAGATCGCAGACGTTCATGCTGCGCCCGCCGTGCGCGTCGGGGTACGTCGAGGACGTAGGCGAAGAAGGCGCCGATTGGCCTGACGCTGATGCGTACGGCGATGACTGGGCGTAGGTGGCGTGGCCATGGCCAGAGTAGGTGTAACCCTGCTGATAGCCTTGCTGGCCTTGCTGCGCGTACCCGCCTTGTGATGGGGCTACAGAGTGGGCGTGCTGAGTGTAAGCTGCACCAGGCGCTGGTGCGTAGCCCGAGGAGTAGTAGCCGCCTTGAGCTTGAGGGTGAGCCTGGCCATGCGCATACTGGTGTCCCGACGCGGCCGATTGATGACCTGTAACGATGTTTAGTACCCGATTGATCACAACGACAACATAGTACCCACCGGCGTACGAAGACTGGCTTTGATATCCGCCCTGAGCCGATGCGTTGTTGGAAGCGTAGTACTCTTGCGAGTTACGTACCGCCTGGTTGTTGTAGTGGGAGGGCGGTTGGTTGTTCTGAGACATGACGGCGATTGCGGCGGTGGCGAGCGATTCACTTGACGGATGAGGGGACGGGGCAGCGAAAGCTTGAAGTGGCAGATAGCTTCGGACCTGGAGCTTTATATCGCATCCATCCATGTGCGATGGCTTGTTTGGGATTCCCGCATGCATTCAAACAGTGCAGCTGTCATCAGGGGTGCGCGCGTCCACAGAAGGCGCGACGCGTTAGAGCACACTCGCACCAACCGTATGGGTCGTGTAAGCAGCCCGAGAGGATGGGCTGTATCGACATGCCATCCGAGATATTGAGCCGAACAAGCTTCATCTAGACCCATCAATTCAGATATAGTATATGGACTTAGTCAAGCGCCAGCCCGTCAGTCCACGGCGGACCAACGTGGTTCAACAGGGTGAGAGCGGGACGCTCACCAACTCCCGGGCCACACGGCATGCCTTGATCCTTTCGCGCTTTCAGTTCGCAAAATCCGTCGCTTGAGATCCCCGGCGACAGCTCCAATCATTTCTACTCCGTTATCCTCGGCACTGCGCTCCACACTATGCATGGTTGTTGACACGGTCAATGTCCAGAAAGCATAGCATAAAGCCGCATGTACACACTCGGGGCTGCGATGTTCGCACTGGGTTACGCTTAATTGCTCGTATAATGCACAGCTCTGTACAACTTGGCTTCAAGGTCCGTGGAGTCCGTTAGCCAACGAGCTGCATTATGTTGACAAAGACTGATTGACATAGCACCGCAACGCACGGAGTGAACAAAGCTGCAATATGTTGCTTGCACCAAAAAGGTTGATGCGTTCCGGAATGCGAGGCGCACACTTCCCTGAAAAGCAATGAGGTCAGTGGCCCGCCACATTTCATTCCGAACGGAGACGTACATGCGACTGCTAGCACATGGAGGTGGTGGGTCCCAGTAATCGCACATGGTCCAAGCCTGCATCTGTGACGGTCGAACTGGGCTTAGCATCGGCCGCCACAGCCTAGCAGGGAAAAACGCCTCCCCGCTCGACACCGAGGATTTTGATGAAGAGGCAGGGGAGGACGTTGCCTGAGCTTGCCGAGCGGTCAGGTTGTGTTCTGTGAGAGGCGTGTACAACACCCCGGAGATTTGCTGCATACATTCGGGCCGCAGCAGGCACCGAGACTGCATTGACCGAACACAGTGATCACAACCTCCAGACCATCCCAAACTGCATTTATCTTTCGATGCATGACGATTAAGCGTAATCATTGAGGGCGGCATGCGCAACAGTTACAGTGAAAGCTAGAGCTGCACGCCTGTGAAGGATAATGTGGCTGGAGTAGGCGCGGCTACGGGCGAGCGCGCCAGACCGCGCGCCCATCGTTCAGCACTAGCTGACGGGCGCCGTATGCTTCGCTCCACTGGCTTGTAACAATCAGGACAGCACTGTTCGTGCTACCCAATGAGGGCAGATCACTAGCCTTGCACGCAATGGCTTGGAAAGATATCACTAACGGACACAGAGCGCACCGTTGTATGTTTCGTCTAGACGAAAGTTGCAGGCGGCCGAAGATTCAGGCGAACTTTCGGGTCTCATCAGGCGCTCGAGCATGCACAGGGCTTCGTTGCATGAGCAAATCTACTACATGGTATTGGTCTTTGACCAAAGATGTTCATCTTTCTTCCCGCAATATCGTGAGCGAATCGCAAGGCGACCGCAGACGAGTTTCGGTGCCGTGAACCTGTCCGATGAGAGTGAGCATAGGATAGAGATCGTGCTAGAGCAGCAACAAGGAACTTACCGAGAAGCAGTAGAAGTACACGAGCAGGGTCTCTTGAAAGCTTATTGGCGATAAATACGGGGTGGCGCCGCGAAAGTTGCATATCTTGGCGGTGAAGACCGGCCTGGAGACATCGATACGTTCGGGGCGCCGATAAACTCAAGTCTTCGGCGTCGTATCGAGTTTCGATGGAGATGATGGTGCCAATCGGATGGCTTCCTCGCTCAACTCCGGATTGAAATCTGCGCTTGTACGCCGGCTTCCGTGCGGTCGCCAGAACTACAGTTCGAGTTTGAAGACCCCGCGTCGCAATGTGGAATGTTGCCTAGACCTAGTGAGGTCAAGCCTCGGTGTTCTGAAGTTTGTTGTATACATGGCGATCAAGACGGCGATTGAGTTGCGAAAAGTCTCCCGGAGAACTGCGCCAGAAGATACTCAAGCCGGCGCCGCGGTCGGAAAGCGGGCCCCCGACATGTCCGTTAACTCCACAAATATATGGAGAAGGCAGTGCGCATAGCAGCGCGCATACGATACGACGTTCTTGCGAAGTCTAGAGTGGAGTAAGAGAGGACGGAGACCCGAAGGCGGTGGTCGTGGTGGTAGCAGTCGAAGTCGAACCTGTGCTCACGCGCCTACTTCGCACGCGAGTTTCACTGCCGGATCCGAGCCGTTCGGAACTTCGTCATCGTGCAAGTCCCCATCGTGTTCCCGCTTAGATTGGCGTATATCGCACCTTTTGCAGACTGCTTCGATACATGTGAGGGCTCTTCTGGCGCCTCCACGTCAAAGCTGCTGTGCTTATACCCTGCCACCCAAGTTTCCATCGCGGAAATACGCCTCTAGCCCGACATCCAGAAGTGACATCTACGCTCTAGGCTTTACTGGTCATGGCGCCGTTTGACCTAGATGCTTGCATCGAGCAACTACTGAAGAAACAACTGCTACATGAAGCCTTGTTACGCGAACTGTGCGAGAAGACGAAGGAGGTGTTGATGCGCGAATCAAATGTTGTGCACGTTAGCGCGCCAGTCACAGTGGTGGGGGATATACACGGGTACGTGATCCCGCTATATACGCTCGCCGACGTCTTGAACAGTGGTTGAACTAGACAGTTCTACGATCTCATTGAGATATTCCGGATAGGAGGTTATGCGCCACACACCAATTATCTCTTCCTCGGTGCGTGCAATTACCTTCACATCTGTACCTATGGAATCGTCGGCCTCGCGTCGACCGTTCGGCTGTCCCCTCGCCTGCTATGCAGTGGGACCTGCATCATCTTTGTCGGCGGCGAGCTTGCCCGTACATTGTTCTGCTGGAAAGTGACTGACGACTGTTGTATTCGTAGGTGACTACGTTGATCGCGGACTCTTCAGCGTCGAGACAATATCGCTCTTGACTTGTCTGAAGCTTCGGTATCCGGACCGAGTGCAGTTGATACGAGGGAATCATGAATCAAGAGCCGTCACACAGGTACGAGCGCTTTCATGCGGTGTTTGTTGCCCGGCCGCTCATTTACCTTTCGCAGAACTACGGTTTCTACACGGAGTGTGTCCGTAAATACGGCACGTCTCGTGTATGGACGTATTTCACGGACATGTTCGATTTCCTAACGCTGTCCGTGGTCATCGACGACAAGATCTTCTGCGTACACGGAGGTGCGCCTGGATTTCGCACCGCGACGTCACCGAACCCACCTCATGATCCCTGCGCTGGCAGGCTTGTCCCCTTCAATTCACTCGATTGACCAGATCAAGGTTGTCGACCGCTTCCGGGGTAAGCACAACTACTATACTGGTCGTGCTTCTGTATAAGCCACTACGTCTGGGGCACAACTCGCGCCCGACGTAGTGATATGCTTTGCAACGCAGGCGAGAGTGTGCGGTCGGCTGTCGGGCGCGGCGTCCGGGCCCCTTGTCAACCAGACACGGCCGCTCTGATGCCCCTTCGTCGGCCCTCTATGATACCTGCTTTGGTCGCCGCGTTCTGTTGCCGTTACTCAACCTACGCCCAGAAATCCCCCATGAAGGCTCGATGGCGGACCTCGTCTGGTCAGATCCTGATCCAGAGAAAGAGGATTTCGCTATGTCACCCAGGTACGTAGAAGCCGTGGACCTCCGGACCTTTTCTCACTCACACCGGTCTTTCCGCAGGGGTGCAGGGTACACATTCGGCTCTGGGGTGGTTCATAAGTTCCTCGAGACAAATCAGATGTCGCACATTCTCCGGGCACATCAACTGTGTATGGAAGGCTACTCCTCGCTCTTCGACAAGCACTTGTCCACGGTTTGGTCGGCGCCGAATTACTGCTACCGCTGTGGAAACTCTGCAAGCATCCTCGAAGTCGGGCCTAACGGCGCGATGTTCTTTAACGTTTTCGACGCGGCGCCTGAGAACGACCGTGACGGACCCGCGCAGCAAGCCCAGCAGAACGCGGGTGGCAAGGTTTGTGCTCTTTCGTTCCAGAAGCGCTCGCGAACGCTGACTCGCGCGACGTGTTCTCAGCTACCAGAATATTTCTTATAGGCCAGAAGTCGCCGATCACGCTGATGATTTGGGCGGCACCGCCGCGCTCGTAGAAGATGTGCGCAACCCTTACGGATACCACTTGTAATGACCGGTTCGCGACCTGATTGTAGGCATAGTGCATTTGTTCAAGTTTGCGCGCTCCCATCGCGATGTACATTTGACCACTTCCTTCCTGCCCGATGACACGCTCAAGCGAGGTCAGTGCGAACATGACTGCCCACTGCCGGCAACGTCTCGCCATAAACCCACTCTTGGGTCCTCCGAGGTCCACGGGTCGTCAAAAGCAAATTGCTTGCCAAACAGAACGCACGCGTCAGGTCGTCGTGCTGATTGTCGGACACAACGGCGAGCACCGCCTGCGGGCCACTAAGTTCGCGTAGACGCCCGGGAGTGCCATCGTCTTCTCGGGTCTTCTCCGAGCTATGAAACTCTGTTCGTCGATTTTCGCGTCGGAATTCCAATCATCAGAAGCTACCGTCTGTATAAACTGCCTCGATATCGAGTACGTTCCTCCGCATCGCCGAGCCGAGCGTGAGCGCTCTTTTGCGTGCCGACGCGAAGGCGCAGCCCCTGCCGTCGCAGTGATCCCTGCTCGTGTGATAGGGTAGCTAGCGTGCAAGATTGACACCGACCGAGAGCTTACACTAAATTCGCATGTCTTGTTCGGCAACCTGTACGCGTCCTGGGAGCTGTAAGTGAGAATGGACTGAAGGTTTGGAGTTGTAACATGCGTTCCCGTCAGGGAGGGTGCGGGCTTTTGGCAGTTAACCCCTCGTCTACCCGAATGTCAAAGATATTCCGAGCCTAGTGGCGACGCCAATAAGGGCCTCACTGGCAGATATTCAGCGCTTTTCATGGTTTGACTTGAGCCGGTCGTCAGACGCATATCAGAGAGATCAGAAGACGCAGCGTTCAGACATAAGAGCCGATACAATGATGACAAGGGCGTAGGCGTTGCTGTCAAGGGTAGAATGGCTGCAGGGCTCACAGAGCATACTTTGACTGTGCAGGATAGATTTCCCGCTCAAGGCCGATGCCGCCACAGGCCGTCCATAGCCAAAGCATACAATCTGTGTACATCCCATTATGGCTTAGTTTATACATTCAATATAAAGGGCCACGCAAGACCCGACTATGTATAGGTTTCCTGCACCGCCTGCTTGGCGCCAATGACTCTCCGCCGCACGGCCTGGAGCGTGCTAAACTATATCAAGGTCTGGCCATTCGCATCCGAGCCAAACCACCCAAGCGCCCGCGGGCGCGTAGCACGAGGAACACGACTGCGAGAACGGACAAAGCTAGCCCTGCGGTAGCATGGCCCCTCCAGCGTTCCCACCATAAGACTGCCAATGTTCGCACCAAATCGCGTTTGCGCCTCCTGCCTGTTGAGGAGTGAAAACTTCCTGAGTTGACTGGGTATCCCCAATAGGGATTATACGACGAGCGAGGTGACAGTCGTGGGGGAGGGCGGACGGGTGCGATAGATGGAGACGGATGTCGAGAATGTTCAGCGGCGGATTCCGGCGAGCCTGGATAGTCGAGGATATCCGGGGTTTCCGTGAGAAAGGGCAGTTCGCCGCCAAAATCTAGGCGGAGTTTAGACACAAGTCGTCGAAATACTCAGCAGGCGTAGCTCACCTTGAGGCAATGACTCAGCTGGCACGACAACATGCAGCTCTTGCCGCGAGAGAAAGAAGACGCGCCTCAGAGCAGCTTCAGGAAGTACATGCCTAAAGACGTGGATCAGAACGTGAAGACGAAACTGTCGTTCATTATGACCACGTACTTCAGCACAGACCACGCCCCTGAATGGGCCCAACCTGTATTCACGACAAGAACTTCACTCCACGAAGATAAGGGTCGTTTGGGTCGGTGTGACAGGTATGGCGATGGAGTAAATATGATGAACGAACAACAGTGAGTTGAAGCTCGATTCAAGATCAAAACAAGGGAGCGTACCTCCCGCGAGTATACCGGGGAAACGAGGCATGGCCTCGCGAGCGTACCATGTGAGGAGGTCAATGTTCTGATAGGAAGGTCTCAATGACACAATTGCGGCCTGGGGAATTGGAGAGGCGCACGAGTGTTCGCACTGATATGCCTGTCATATCGAGGATGACGAGGACTTGTAGCTTGGGTCGTGTGGTCGTCTCGGAGTTGGTTCGCGCAAGGTGTTGTCGCAGCATTTCGAGGGCGTGTATCAAATAGCCTTGCAGGGTTTCTGTGGATAGGGCTTGGCCTTGCAGGGCAGAGGGGCGTATGATCACGACAGGTTGGCCAAGGCAGTCGCTCGCGGGTGGTCGGAGGCAAAAGAGTAGCTGTCGTGGAAATCGCAAATTCTGCGGCCAGGAGTTCAAGTGACGATCTCGCCACAACAAAGTATCACGCATGGCTTCGAGAGCGAACGAGGAGGTGAATTTGTGTCTCTGAATGTAGATACATGTGGTCAATACAAGTCTTACAGCCGCCATACAACACCACAGCGAATTAATAGCCCCAACGCAGTCCCATCTCCACGCGGAAGTGGTTCTCTCTGGGGACAAGTCGCCAGCCTACTGCTTGGGCAAGCCGAAGGTGACACACCTTGTACATTTTGAACGTTGAGGCTGGAAATATGATCAGTTTAGTCCGAAACAGCATAGTACAGTACGCACCGTCATCTTCCAGCCACTGGTGTGCACGAAGAAGCTCTGCTTCGCCGTCCAGTAGGCCGTCCTCCTGGATATTGGGGAGAATCCGCTGCAGTAACGTCTGGCGCAAGGTCTTGACATTGTCGGAATGTTCCTCATATAATCCCAGAATCTCGTTGAAGTTACGTCCGAGGGCCGTACGACATTCCATAGAGTTCGTCGGACTATGCACGGGGCTATAGCTGCGTCGGTAGTGATGGTCAGGCTCCAAACGAGATACGCGCGTAATAGGCGAGGCCGAACTGCACGTGTTATGCAAAGTCCGGGAAACACCGACCGCGCGCTGTCTCGTCTTCCTCTCGAGAGCCCTGCACGCATGTCTTCTTGACGCACCGCCAGATTAACTTGCTGCAGGGGGTGACCCTCCGGTACCGAAGCTTGCGGTCCTTGCATCCTCCTTGATCAGTCAGCTGTGCCGTGCGGCCAGTCGCCTTTACACGCAGACCTGAATTGCGACATGATCGTGGCTTCAACGACACCGTCATGTTGAGCGTACCCGCGGGATTCCAGACGCTCGAGGGCCTCATTGGTAAAGACAGATTCTATTCAGTCTCGTCCGTGTGACTTGAGCCAGCCTCTCCTGGAACCGCAAAATACAACATCGAAGCCCCACCGCTAGTCTCGCACTCGCCTGAATCTGGGTCCCAGAGACCTTGCGACAGTCTTTTCGAAGCATGGGCGTATACAGTACGTGCCAGTCAGCAACGATCATCAGCTCAGGAGGTTCGTCCTGATGATGGAAGCACAATTCTACTCCACGTTAACAGTCGTACGCAGACAGCGTGCCAACCCATGCGGCCATTGGTCCGCCCTCGACGCCGCTCTGGGCCTTCCAGCCTAGCCAACCGGAAGGCTGTCTGTCCCGTCGTCTCGCATCTGGTATAATGCAGAAGACCCTTGGCTATCAGCAGGACGCCCTAACATGAGGTCACAGCTGCCCGTTGCTCTTCGACGCCTCTCAGTTCTCCCAGGCCTGAGAGCCCGCGATGCTCTCTGGGGGGTTCAGACAGCCGTTCTGTCGCCCTTCGCAGGCTTTGAGTTGTCTTGGAGTTGCCAATCATGCATTCACATGTCTGTCATGTTTTCCGTTTGTTTTGACAGTTCCTTCTTGAACTTCCATTTCATGTCAAAGGCCTCATTCCGTATGTTTTACGAAGAAAGAGCCATCTTAGCAATGGTGATCAGGCATGTTGTATACACGCACGACGGTGCGGGCCTCAGCGGCGTATGCACCAACGGCGAACTCGGCTCAATAGGTTATCCGGTCCAAGCAGCGTATGAAGAGCTCGACACATGCGATATGACTGGCCGCCTTGAACGAGCACATTATTCGCTCGGACTGGTCGGATACTTCAGCCGCACGAACTCCCTCGTCGTGTCAGGGTGCTCCTCACGTATAGGCTACGTGAGTCGCTTCTCTACGCCACAAGCATGCTTATCGTCTAATAACTGATCGCATTCAGACCTCCGGACGAGAAACCACCCGGTGAATGCGAAGAGTTTCTTGAACTCTCAGTCAGCTGAATGCTCTATGCAGACGCGGCGTTCTTTGTACGATCCGGAAGCTACCCCAAGGATGCATCGGCCTGTATACAACCGGTCAGCCACAGCTCTGGCCCACGAGAGACTGGTCTTATGGGCCGCGATCTTCCCTTAAGATCCTCTCCGGGCCGGCGAGCCAAAGCTGCAACGTGTATCTCTATCGCACGGAGAATTATACTTCTTGTCTGGTACCGAACCCTGCGCAGCCCGGAGCTCGAGGCCGCCGCTGAGGTCAATGTAGAGGTGCAATCTTCGACGCGCTTTACCAACCTCTTGGTATATACTTAGTCCGGGACGACTCCACTTCGGGCTAATGCTTGATGCCTTTGTGTCCTAGGCAACTCCTCTGATTGCATTGTACTCGTCTATAAGATGCTTTCGCTAATAGCCGTATTCACACCCGCAATAGACTTGATCATGTTCCTTCTCCCGAACGAGACAAAAGCGTCGGATATCGATGTGGCGCTTACCATCCCGCCTAGAAAGGTGTACTTGCATCCTATAGTCTCGGAAGTCTGAGGAAATGCGGCTTTTGAGGGAACTAGTACACGGTTGTGCTTCTCGTTGGCACGTCTATCCTCTCACTGTGACAGCTGCGCCACGGGGAGAATTACTATTTTCGCATGCTAGAGCAGTACTCGGTGACCATTCGGAAACATCTACTCACACAGCTCACTCTGGCTCTGATGATCGTTTGCGCAGGGCTGCTTCGCGCAGGCGTCTTCAGATAGATGCGGTTGCGTGTATGTTAGGCATCTTGATACCCCAGGCGAGGCGACGAATCCTAAGCGAGCTCGTTTCCCCGGGCCAGACCGTTCTACGGCGACACGAACAGATTTCCAGAAGTCCATATTGTAAATCGCGATTAAGGGTCGAAGTCAGACCTCACGCTTGCGGGGTTCTCGTACGCATTCTCATTCTATCCGCGACTTTCCATACACAAGTACACCCAAGCATAAACGCGCTCCAGCGGCCGATTCGATTTCTCACAGAAATGAAGCCAATTACGGTAGTGAGACCAGTCCATTGAGAGAATGGCGCGAAGCTAAACGAGAAAAGTCCCAGAAGAGCGGAAACGTCGAACACATAATGATATTGTATGGATACAGCTTGCGAGAGGGGTGTCCGTGGACCCGAGGGGGACCTATAGCGCATGCGCGGCACGAGGCAAATGAGGAACAAGACAGATGAGCTGTATGAAAGATCAGACCGCTGATGACGAGGCACGAAAGGAGATGTACTCACAATACATGCAATTGGGTAAGTGGGTATCGTGTGGGCGGCGAGGGCAGTCACCAGCGTGTTCGGTCAAGAGACCTCAACAACTGCTCGTCCGTAGGGTCGCGCCGCCAGTTTGCGCCGGTATGCCTGAGCTGGTCAAGAGGAGCGAGCGCCAATCCCCGACTCGAGCTCGGTATTGGCGTAGATATGTGCGCTGGTGCAGAGAGAGGTGACGGCGACCAGCTACCACGAGACGATGGTGGGCTGGTGGAAATGTACGACATCCCAGGCGAGGGCAGAGTGTTGGACCGAGATCGAGGCGTCGAAGAATGCGCGGGAGGACCATAGCCAGATGGTTGAGGGTATTGAGGATACGACCCGTATGGTGGATACGGTGTGACCATAGGTGGAGGGAAGGCCGTGACCTTGCCACCCTTGGCGAAGTTGTCACGCATCCGGTTCGTCCTGGCGCATACGTACAGGCCTTCTGGTACTTGAAGATGCTTGAGCTGAGGGATGTCATCGATGGTCTGCAGGTGATCAATGGTCTCTTGCGTCCAGTAGGCGTCTGGAGAGCATGGTGTCAGAGGGCGACGGTTAGACGAAAGTGACGAAAACGAACTTAGGTGCCACTTTTTCATGCCGGCGTGTCCATTGATGTATACCGAATACGTCTGTTTGATCATGCAATCTCCGACACGTCGTGACTGTAATGAAGCGGCATCTTCCTGATATCTATGATGCGCTCGATACCAGCTACAACATCTGAGAATGATCGACAAACCTGAGAGCGCGGGTACGTTCGACCATCATTGATTTTGGGGCCTGTACTTTTTCTTGATAGAATAAGAAATCATCCCTAGCCCTACAGCAGATACAGTTAGCAACGCTATATGGGGCCAAAGCGCCGACCGACCTGGAAGGACCCCAACTGCGACCTAAATAGGATTAGTTCATACGATGCCGACGGTCGGAGTGTACGAGATACTGACCCTCAGTGAATCGTTCTATGCCATGCTCGAGAGAGTCGGACACGACGCTAGTACGTTCTTCCCAGACGTAGACGCAGCCGGTGGCGAGGGCCATACGTTCCTCGCTGTCGAGTCGGCGAGTGATCATGGGGAGCATGCCGAGAGCAACGGCATGGAAGAGTATCTCAGCGTCGCGAGCGGTGCGCACACGCAGATTGGTAACAGTCGGGCGCTGCATGGTGGTAATGTGGGGAGGACGGTGGGCGAGGGGTGCCTGAGGGCAAGCGGCGCGACCCCCGAGTTCAAATAGGCCGCCATTGTCGTCAGTGTTCCGAGAGATTGATGTGGCCGATGTGGTCCGGCATGCAATCGTGCGGGGTGCGGCGCGGACTCGTGTTACCCACCCGTTACTGAATCGCAAGGGCACAGAGTAACGATGCGCCCAAGATGTATAGATTGTACGGTCTGCGCCCGGAAGCTCGGGCATGAGAATCAAAAGGCTAACTTCAAAGCCCTGATGAACCCAATCTTACGGGACGATCGTACGCTAGGCCAGTACCCCTGAAAACCCGAAGAAAGGTTCGAGACGCGGAACCCCGCTTTCTCAACCCCGCTAAAGTCTCGCGTCGTCTGCGGACCGGTAACCGAACCCCGCTTTTATCTCGCGAGGCGATATGTTTGCAAAAATTGTTGTGGTTGTATACGGCACCAGAGGATACACAAAAATAATCAGGGATACAGTACGGATATAACATAAACTGCCAGAGGTCGTGGCGACGTATTGGAAGCAAGCAGTA